GTTTGGTTCTAAAGGTGAGGTTCTGTCCTCGTCTGGTTCTAAAGGTGCGGTTCTGTCTTTGTCTACTTCTAAAGGTGAGCTTCTGTCCTCATCTGGTTCTAAAGGTGAGGTTCTGTCCTCATCTGGTTTTAAAGGTAAGGTTCTGTCTCCGTCTGGTTCTAAAGGTGAGGTTCTGTCCTCGTTTGGTTCTAAAGGTAAGGTTCTGTCTCCGTCTGGTTCTAAAGGTGAGGTTCTGTCCTCGTTTGGTTCTAAAGGTGAGGTTCTGTCCTCATCTGGTTCTAAAGGTTTGTTTGTAATAGCAGCTCATGTTTTAGAACCCTGCGGGGGGTTCTCTGTGGTTCTGGTTGGAAATGTGAGAAAGGTTTCTTGGATCTTGTTGGAACACATTGCCTCTCAGTCTCCAGTTTTCAGCGGATCTTGTTGGATCTGCAGAACCCCGAGGAGGACGAAAAGTCTCGGAGGATGAAAAGTGATAAAATCCAGTTAAAGACTGTTGGAGATGAAAACATTCAAATACTCTCCTGGTTAAAGGTCCTGGAATGATTAAAGGTCCTGGACTGATTATAGGTCCTGGACTGGTTAAAGGTCCTGGAATGATTAAAGGTCCTGGACTGATTATAGGTCCTGGACTGGTTAAAGGTCCTGGAATGATTAAAGGTCAGGTCCTGGACTCTGCTGGATCTGGACTCTTGAAGACCTCTAATGATACTTGTGCAGCAGACTCAGGATGGATGGGAACATCTGCTGAGGAGCATCCAGACCCCAGATGAAGTCCAGATGTTCCCAGTGTCCGATGTGCTGATGATAGACCAGGTTGGAGATCTGCAGAGGGACAGGTCTGTTTAGTTCTAGAAGCTTTTATTGTGAAGGAGAACAGAAGAGCATCAAACAGAACAGCTGGTAGAACCACACTGGATCAGAGACTTGGGCTGACCTGAGTCAGGAGGACTGCTACGTCTTTGGGGTCTGCCAGAGTATCTTGTCCTCCTGAAAACAGGGCCGTGGGGACCTTCATGTCCTTGACTTGGTACTCGGGTGGACTGGACTGAAGACGGAAACACATTGTTAGTCTCTGGACTCTGTTAGACCCTGATCCTACCAGGACTCTGAGTCCAGGTTTAGTTTCACCTGGTTGTAGTGTTTCATGTTTCCTGTAGATCCAAAGTCAAACGCCATCAGTTTTCCTTTATGAACCGCCTGTTCACAACAACAAAGAGTAAACATCAACAAACAGTAAACAACAACCATGTAAACAACAACACACCTGTGAACAACAACAAACCAATAAACAACAACAAAATCAGTAATTTACAATAGCTAGTAAACAACAACAAACCATCCCATCCATCCATCATCTTTACCCGTTTATTCCATTTTGGGTCACGGGGGTCGCTGGTGCCCATGTCCAGCAATCACTGTGTGAGGGGCGGGGGACACCCTGGACAGGTCTCCAGTCCATCACAGGGACACATAGAGACAAACGAGACAAACAACCATTCACTCTCTCACACACACCTAGGGACAATTTTGAGTTACCAATCAGTCTAACATGCATGTTTTTGGTCTGTGGGAGGAAACTGGAGTACCAGGAGAAAACCCACGCATGCACGGAGAGAACATGCAAACTCCACCCAGAAAGGCCCCTGGACCGGGGTTTGAACCAGGGACCTGCTCGCTGAGAGGCAGCAGCTCTACCAGTTGTGCCACCGTGCTGCCCACAACAAACCAATAAACAACAAAAAATCAGTAATTTACAATAGCTAGTAAACAACAACAAACCAGTGAACAACAACAATTGTATGAACAATAAACATGTGAACAACAAAACGCAGGCAGCACGGTGGTGCAACTGGTAGAGCTGCTGCCTCTCAGCGAGCAGGTCCCTGGTTCAAATCCCAGTCCGGGGGCCTTTCTGGGTGGAGTTTGCATGTTCTCTCCGTGCATGGGTGGGTTTTTTCCGGGTACTTAGTCCATGCATTTATTACAACCCGGCTGGACTACTGTAACTCACTTTATGTTGGGGTCAGTCAGGCTTCACTCTCACGTCTCCAGCTCGTACAAAATGCTGCAGCTCAGCTACTAACAGGAACTCACAGGTTTGAGCACATTACTCCGGTTCTGTCCTCCCTTCACTGGCTTCCTGTACGTGTCAGAGTTGATTTTAAAATTCTCCTGCTGACGTTCAAGTGCATTAACGGCCTTGCACCATCATACCTCTCCGACCTTCTTCATCCTTATGCTCCTTCTCGGGCTTTGAGATCATCAGACCAGCTGCTTGGTGGTACCAAAAACCAGCTGAAGCTCAGAGGAGATCGAGCGTTTTCAGTCGTGGGCCCTAAACTCTGGAACAATCTGCCCATCAACATTCGACAGGCCACCTCAGTCTCTGCTTTTAAATCTCTCCTCAAAACACATCTGTACTTACTGACACATCTGTACTCACTGACCCATCTGTACTCACTGACACATCTGTACTCACTGACACATCTGTATTCACTGACACACCTGTACTCAATGACACACCTGTACTCACTGACACACCTGTATTCACTGACACACCTGTACTCACTGACACATCTGTACTCACTGACACATCTGTACTCATTGGCATTTAATGCAGGGTGATTTGATTTAGTATTTCATGGTTTCTCATTATATTTCATGTTTTTATTCTTTTATTCATGTTGCTGTAATATGTTGTTATTAATATTTGATGCTGTGATCTGTTTTGGAAGCACTTTGATAACAGTTACTGTTTTAAATGTGCTAAATAAATAAATGTGACTTGACTACTCCAGTTTCCTCCCACAGACCAAAAACATGCATGTTAGGCTGATGGTAACTCTAAATTGTCCCTAGGTGAGAGAGTGAAAGGTTGTTTGTCTCGTTTGTCTCTATGTGTCCCTGTGATGGACTGGAGACCTGTCCAGGGTGTACCCCGCCCCTCGCACAGTGATTGTTGGACATGGGCACCAGCGACCCCCGTGACCCAAAATGGAATAAACGGGTAAAAGATGATGGATGGACAACAAACCTATAAACAACAACAGTCCTGTAAACAACAATAAACCAGTGAACTACAAAACCTGTAAATAACAACAAACCAGTAAACAACAACAAACCGGTGAACAACAAGAAATCAATAAACAACAACAAACTAGTGAATAACAACAATCCTATAAACAACAATAAACCAGTGAACAACAACAAACCTGTAAACAACCAACCAGTAAACAAGAAATCAGTAAACAACAAAAAGCTAGTAAACAACAACAAAACAGGGAAGAACAACAATCTTATAAAAACCAACAAACCTGTAAACAACAAACCAGTAAATTAAAATTTAACCTGTAAACAGCAACAAACCAGTGAACAAAAATCCTCTAAACAACAATAAACCTGTGAGCAACAAACCTGTAAACAACAACAAATTAGTGAACAATAACACACCTGTAAACAACAAGCCAGTAAATGAAAATAAGCCTGTAAACAACAACAAACATGTAAACATCAATAAATCTGCCATTTGGGGAAAATATATTTCTGAAAATGTAAAGTTCTTGCATCAGCAGAACAAAGTTCTGGATCATCTGCTGCTATGTTTGTGTGTTTTAGGTCCAGCAGCTGATAGGAGTTTTACAGGTAAACAATGGGGGCGGGCTTAGTTTGGTCATGCATGTAGATATGTTGTTTATGTGTGTGAGGTACCTGAGCCCAGTGGACCATGTTCTGGACAGATGTCCCAGCGGGACAGTGAGTCGTGTAGACTGGAGTCCGAGTCTGGAACAGATCAGGGTTCAGGGTTCAGTTCCAAAAACCTTTCAGACCCAGCACTTCAGTCATCTGTTGGTTCTGTTTCTAGATCTGTTGGTCTATCAGTACTTCAGAGCTGGCAATTCTAACCCGAGCCCTATTCCCGGCCCCACCTGACCCGAATTTGGGGCGGGCCGGGCCATGATAATGTGCTAGATGAACAGGCCGGGTCGGTGTCGGGCTTTTAATTGGGTCAGGATTAGCCGTGATCCAATTATATGATAGCATGGCCTGCCATACAATCACCAGCCACGAGCTGAGCGGCCTTGAAAGAGGTCAAACGTTCAGCTAAGCTTCAGATGGACCATACTGCCAGGAATGGACGTTCATTCAGCCGCTGCACTCAGCGGACGCGCGAGGCCGACGACCCAAACACGTGAGACCTCAGAGCAGACGTGTCAGAGCAGAGTCCGTGTCTGAATAAATCAGAACGCAGCAGAAGCAGGGATTAAATGCTCTTTGACGGCCATGAAAGGACAAACCCCCCCCTCAGCTCCAGCTTCTGCCCCTTAATTCAGCCGCGCATCTCCAACCGTTAATAACTAATTAAAAATGTCGGGGGTTTCCGGGTTCAGACCTGTAATTACTGTTAATTCACCGGGTCGGGTGAGGTTCGGAAATGAAGACTGCGGGCTGGGCCCGGATCGGATTTTTTGGGCCCGAGTGCAACTCTAGTACTGATATTCTGCTGATTGTTCTGTTGAGGAGAAGCAGCCAAATCTGAGGTTTTGGAACAAAGATCCTTCTTATTTCTGCTGGACCAACATTAGAACACGTTTAGAAGCTGAATATCAGAACTGTCCGTGTTTTCTGGATAAAAGCAGGAAGTTGGTGGTATTTTGTTTCTGAAAACTGTCAGACTCAGATGTACAAACCATGTTGAGGTTTTTTTCGTCAAAGCCACAGAGAATGAAAAAGAGGTTTCCACACAGCTCGCTGAGCAGCTTCTTCGCACATACGTGTTCCGCCAACCACTTGATGTACTGACTCTGAGGCAGGAAGTCCCGCCTACCAAACAGCTCCTGCAGAGGGCGTCCACAAAGACAATGTTAGGGAAACTTGTTTGGGACAAGGTAAGTCGAATTGTTTTGGAGAACACATAGAATAAGGCTTCACCTCTTTTTTGGGTAATTTGGAGCAAGACTCCACCTCTTCAAAGTTAATTTAAAACAAGACCCCACCACTTTATAGTTAATTTGAAACTAGGCTCCGCCTCTAAAGTTAATTTGAAACAAAGCTCCGCGTGTGAAGTTAAATTGAAACAAGTCTCTGCCTCGAAAGTTAATTTGAAACAAGACCCAGTCTCTTTACAGTTAAATTGAAACAAGGCTCCGCCTCTTTACAGTTAATTTGAAACAA